TCCACCGAACTCTTCCTTATAACCTCCAAAACAATAAACACTTCCCTCGCTTAGATGGTCATATCAATATCAGTAATCTGCTACTCCGTAGTAATATTCGAGCATACCGAAACACTTTTACTGGCTTGAATAGTCCGTTGAACAAAGGGTTTGGGGCCCAGTTCAGTCGGTGTGATAAAGTACACACACACGGCTTACATTCATGCACACTTACAATATCACTTGATCAATTATCAACTTTCAACCTCAAACCAAGTCGAGCGCGATAAAGTACACTTCCGACTTAGAAGGTGAGGGACAATTGAAAACACTTCACAATGAATCACTTAGCAATATTTCATAATAAGCACATTTTCCATATAATTGCACTTAGGTACACATAAGCAATTTAACACAGAAATTCGGAAAACACTCACCAAATATTCAAATAACTACTCTCGAGTCTCGAGTCGATTTTCTGGTTCACAGCTACTTCCTGGATAAGTTAATAATTCCAAATCAAATACATAGTTTGTAGATGTTTACTTATTGTTCTTACTTTATCACTTGAACTATTAAAATCAAGTTTGACTTTAAAGTACAAAATATAACATATTCAATATTCATTTATCATTTTATTTTGAAACTTATTGACTTTATTGTGTCGATCAAGAATTATACCTGTTTTCCCAAGTTAATAATTTATAAGATATTTATTTTAGGATTAAATCATTTTCCACTCAAGATTTCAAAATTAAGGCTTAGAAGTATTCCATTGGTTCTCTTTTAATTAATAGACTCTAAGTTATTTGGAAATTAAGTTTTATTCCACTAAACCAGTCCCTCAAATTAATAGTCTTTAAAATATTCCTGAAAACAATATTAAATAATTAGAAGCCACTTTACGTATATAACTATCGTGACTTTTCATTCAATCGCTTTAGTTTAACTTTACTCGTGGAACTGGGTATAGCCATTAAATCTCAGAACAATCGTAGCTATTATTTATGAAAGCTTACAAGATTTGAAATTAAGAGAAATGTTAGTTAAAAGTTGGTTTCCTCACGGCCATTATCAAAGCTGCATGCATGCGAAACAAAAGGAAAGGCAACGAGGAAGGCAACTTTGCCATCCTCTGGTATTTCAATCATAACTAGAGCTACGCTTATTGGATTGAGGCGAACTTTATAGTGTTTCGAAGCTAAGACCTAGACCTACATTTCATAAGAGGACCTTAACATCCAGTTCTCACATATTCAAGGCCAAAAAGGGACGGTTAGAAGCACATTCTGCTTCATTCTCTCGGACAGCAACCCCAAACTTCCAGAACGTTATTTCAAGCTTTAAGCAAAAAGCTCTATTCTTCCACTTGCTTAAAGCTCTAAATACTTAAGGTACATTCGGTCCAGCACAAACCAAAGCAATTAGCATATAGTTCAACGAATTATTCAACCTAAAAGCCAAACACAACAATCTGACATCAGCTGAGGCATTGGACAAGTAAAGCTTCCAGCAATGTAGCAGTTTAATATACAACATTTTTACCATAACTCCTTCAGTTTTAACTCCAACTCATCAAGAAAAAGATGACTATCATGCCATTGAGTAATCTTGATCAGCAATATAAAAATTTACAGCCAAATTCATAACGAAAACTGAACTGAAGTTTATTTCCTTTTCTCTCGGCCAAGCTATAAAAGTTTTGGTCAGCAATCAACTTTTTAAACAAGAACTTCTCCATTAACTACTTCCTTTCCCACTCAAATCCAACATGCATGCTGAGACCGAAATATTATGCAAGGTATTAAGCTTCAACGTAGGGATTTGGAACCTAAAATCTGTCAAGAAATCTGGAAAATTCCTTGTTTCCTCTCTCGGCTAGCTAGACAGAAACTACCGGCTAATCTTTACAAAGTTTTCACTCAAGCTATCAACTCCGCTCTAGTTACTCAGGTAAGACAAGGAAATAACATATAGTTTAAGCTTCTAGCAGAAAATTACTCCTTACTTTCAGTTAACAAGCTACAACAACAAACAACAAGTCTCAGTTCCTATAACTTCAGTCCAGTTCCAATTTTTTTCTTCTTTATCAGATTTCCCTCGGTTCAAACTTATTGTTCCTTGCTAAAAGCTAACATGCAGCTTGTATATATTCTCATTTATGCCTAACTAAGCAGAAAATTATGGTAGATTCTTAGCTCTTTTCCCTTAGAATTCAACAATAGTTGACTGCTCCAGTTTCGTTAGCTTCAGTTCCTAAAATTGCAGCAACTTCCACTCTTCCTCTCGGTTGAAGCTAATCAATGATGAAACTAAAAAAGTTTCTCTTCCTATCCTTCACTTTAGCTCTCAGTTTTGGTCGGTTAAAGAATGCAGAAATGGGAAAGCTATTCGGTTGCTCTGTTTTCTCTCTCGGTTGTTTCTGCCTAAGGAAAAAAAATGCAGAGTTCTCTCTCTCACTCTCTCGATTGGTACTCCAAATGAGCTGATCACTCACTCCTAAGTCGGTGATGGCAATTCCAAAGCCTCTCCACTCAGCTTTGTTTCTAAGGTTCTGATACTAGCTGGCCGCATGGTAGATTAGCTAGATTGAAAGGTTAGTTAGGTCATTTGGTACCAATTTAATTGCTTACTAAGGAGCTATGGTTTTATTAGTTCACACATTAACTCCTAACTTTGTAAATATATTTTTACACCATTCCAAAGGATTTATAATTTCTCGATTTTGTTGCAGAATTTAAATTTTGACATTTAACTTACCAATTATTATTTTTAATAGCAAAATGAAAATAATACATGCAAAACTTATACAAAAATTTTCTAGGGTTTTCACATTCTTACCCCCTTAAGAGAATTTTGTTCTCAAAATTCATACCTTTAATTACAAAAGTTCCAGGTATCCCTCCTGCATTTTTTTCTTCCACTTTTGACCAGATCTTAACTAAAGCGATTTGTTTCATAGCGTTTTCTCTTTCCAATTTAAATATGGTATCGGCTACTTCCCCGCGTGTATAAAAATTCAATTTCTTTAGTTATACAATTTAAATGGACATTATACCTAATTAAACAATCCATATCTATGATAACATTATAAGCTTGACGTTATCGCTCCTTAAACTCTATAACTCTCACAACTAGCCTATATACGAATATGTAATAATCAATTATATGTAATTAACCATAACCCAGAAACACATTAATTTCATTTATATCATTACTACAAAATAGATTCATGGTCAATTAAGTTACATCATATAACAAAGTCAATTACCACATATATTAAGCTCTGGTACACTTTTTTTTTTTAGAAAGTAACATTTTTTTTATTAATCAGAAAGCTTAGGAGTACATAGCAATTAATCTCTTATGTAGGGGAAATTCAACCTATCCAAGCTAACAAAGCCCCTAACTCGGCCCGGCAAAGTCTGAGGGCAGTAAGTGGCCGATGAGCGGGTTGTGCTTGTTTGTCGAGCTAGGACATCGGCTACAGAATTAACCTCCCTGTAGTTATGCCGAAGATGAAAGTGTCCAGTCCGAACTATACTCTAGATCTGCCGAACAACAGCATCGATGCGCCATGGGCAGTGAGTTTGGCGACGAACCGCTTCTTGGAAGGGCTTAGAGTCCATTTCTACCGCCACCCTGGTGTGGCCAAGCATGGTGCAAGTCTTGAGACCCTCCAAAAGAGCCTGTGCCTCAATCTCCAAACTAGTGCTATGGCCATAATACGTGGAAAAAGCAGTGAGCACCTGCCCCAAGTAGTCTCTAAGGATTCCTCCCCCACCTAAGTGCCCAGGGTTTCCCAGTGAAGAGCCATCTACATTTAACTTGAGGAATGGAAACGCTGGTGCCTACCAGGTTAGGGTAGTAATTTTGTGGGGGGTCCTCGGTTTGAGAAATGGAACCACCCCCATTGAAAGGAGTCTCTTGTCAGCTGTCACCGTATGTGTCAAAGGGCTAGCAATGGTAATGGCGTGAACTTCAGCCAGAATCCGCAGGCAAACCTAGAAAGCAGATAGCACAGTATCTTCAAAGAAATAGAGGTTCCGTGTTTTCCACATCTCCCAACAGACTATGGACGGCAAGACGCCTAGTAGACAACCAGTTGTTGAAAAGGTGGCAACGCGCACCCAAAAACCTTGAAGATGGGTAAGAACATCCAAGTGGCGTACGCTTGAAATATCCATCAAGCGCTCAAAGAAATTCCAAACATCTTTCGGAAGTGGGCATTGGGAGAACAGATGATCTACTATTTCGCAGCTACTGCAGAAGGGACATTTGGAGGGTATATTAAACCCTAACCCCTCCAGGACATCCGCCAGGGGGATAGCTTGATTTAGAAGTCGCCACATGAAGATTGATATTCGCAATGGGATGCGGGAACTCCAAATGTATCTCCTAGAGACCATAGGTGGCCGCCACTGGCGAATGATGCTAAAGACAGGTGAAACAGAGAAGCGACCTGAGGGAGTGGGCCACCACACTAGCTCATCCCGAACCTTAACCTTACTAGTTAAAGAAAACTGTCGTATATGGTCCCGCTGTCCACTGGAAATGAAAGATGACAGCGCCTCCAAATTCCAAGTACCAGCACTATAGAAGTCTGAGATTCGTGCCTCTGGAGTTGGGACTGTGGCCTGATCATTTGCAAGTGGCCCCTCACCTAGCCAATTCTCAAACCAAAAAGAAAAGGATCCATCGTAGACTAATAGGCGAGTGTTTTCAACCATGACATCTTTTGATCGTAACATTCTTCTCCAAACTGATGAATCAAAGTGTCGATGGGTGCTCAGAGAAGCATGAGCAATGTCCCTGATGTACTTTGCCGCCATGAAGTCCGCCCATAGGGAAGAGCCCTTTTGAAATTTTCACCAAAGTTTGCATCCAAACGCCCGTTGGAGCTCCCTTAGCTTTTGGAAACCTAGGCCATTCTCTTCCTTGGGGTAGCATAACTTGTCCCAAGAGAGCCAATGTCTTTTGGCTTTCCCATCCGCAGCCCCCTAAAAGAAGGCAGACATCAACTATTCCAATCGCTTTAAAACTTGTTGCGGAGAATCAAGCACGGACAATGTGTATAGTGGGATAGCAGCCAGCACATGCTTGATAAGTATCATCCTGCCTCCAGCATTCAGAAGTTTGCCTTTCCAACTTGCAAGACGCCTTTGAAGCTTATCGACTAGGGGCTGGAAATAGGATGACTTTGTCTTCCCCTTAAACAGCCTGCAGCCTAAGTAATCTATTGGGAACTATTTACACTGCATTCCCGTGATAGAGGATACCAGACGAGAATGAACCGTAGAGCTCCTGTGAGGTAGAACAAAGAAACTCTTCATCGTGTTCACCTTTTGGCCTGACCCATATTCATACAGCGTTAGAAAATCCATCAATCCCCTAAGTGATTTCCTATCTGCCCTCCCAAAAACCATAATATCATCAGCAAAGCTCAGGTAGGAGATTGACGGACACCCATGTGGCAGCGCATAACTAGCGATTGCCCCTGTCTCAAAAAGCTTATTAAGGCCTCTACTTAGTGCCTCTACTCCTAGGATAAAGAGGTATGGTGATAACGGATCCCCCTCTTTAAGCCCCCATAAGGCGTTGAAAAACCCACAGGGTTTCCCATTGATGAGTAATGAAAACCGGCTCACAGTCAAGTTGCTCAAGATCAACGCGACAAAGTGAGTGAAAACCAAACGCTTGCAGCACTTTAGATAGAAATGACCAGGAGACCCTATTGAAAGCCTTCATCATATCTAACTTAAAGATAATGTTATTGCCACGTACTTTCTTATCCAAGGAGCCCACCAACTCTTGCCCCAGTAGAAGGTTATCTGTAATATCTCGGCCTTGGACAAAGCCTGATTGCTCCTTTGAGATTAGTGCCGGCAGCAAGGGCTTCAAGCGATTACAGAGCACTTTGCTGAAAATTTTGTTAATGAAGCTATTCAAGCTTATTGGCCTATAATCTTCAAATGAGCTACATGCATCCTTCTTCGGGACAAGGACAATGACCATGTTTGAAATGGACTTGGGAATGGGAACCCCAATAAAGAACTCTTGGACCGCCTTGAAGATGTCTGTCGCCACAATATCCCAACAGTGTTTGAAAAATAACCCCGAGAAACCATCTGGACCCGCTGCACTATCGCTATCCAGACCGAACACCGCGTCCCTGACTTTCTCGGGAGTCACCATTTGTATGAGACTTGCATTTTGATGCGGAGAAACCAACAAAGGAATACTTTGCAATAGGCGCTGTGCCACTTGCTCCTTCGCTAGGCCTTCCGTGGGATCAGCGTGCTCTTGGGACGGCAGCGTTTGAAAGAATGCGGCCCCTTCGACTGCTATGGCTTCAAAATCTTCAATCCACTCTCCGCCTGAGGTCTTGATGCGATTGATGTGCAGCCTCTCCCTCTTATCCTGCACATATGCATGAAAAAATTTTTTGTTAGAGTCCACTTCTTTAAGCCACTTGACCCGAACCTTTTGTTTCCAAAAAATCTCTTCATTTGCCAATGCCTGGAGAAGGTTTGCTTGGGCTTGGCTCCATTCCAAACAAGCTGTCGTCGTGTTCTCCTGCTCCAAGCAAATCACTTTCTGACAAACTAGTTCCTCTGCTTGTGCCACGTTGTCAAATGCATTCCCAAAGGCAGTTCTATTCCAAGCCTGCAGGCACCGCTTCAGATGCTTTAACTTGCCAGCCAGGCCATGCATCCCATATCCCTCAAATGGCAAGTTCCAATTTTGTTGAACTATATTCATGAAGGCCGAATGCCGAACCCACATGTGCTGAAACTTAAAAGAAGCCTGGGACGGCCAAGAGGGGTAATCAAACAAGCACAGTAGAGGTGAGTGGTCCGACGATGTACGATTGAGATGATGGACGCACAGTCGCGGGAAGTGCTGCTCCCATTCATTGTTATACAAAACGTGGTCTAACTTTTTCCAAATCCTCCGTCCATTGCGGATCCCCGTCCAAGTGTACTTACTTCCTACCACCCGCGCTTGCTTAAGCAGGCAACTGTGTAGGCATGAGTTGAAGTCCGCAATCGTGCCCATATCTTGAGGAGAGGAGCCTAAGTACTCCTCCAGGAAGGATATAACATTGAAGTCTCCACCTAAGAGCCATGGACGGCGACTAATCGTACTACTTATCCCCTGTATGGTCGACCATAGCTCATGGCGTTCCTGCCTGGTGCATTTCGCGTATACAAAGGTGCTATAGAAGACTGTTGGTATAGACTCGTGAGTGATCACCAACTGAAGGAATTGATCCCCGTTTCTGAGGACATTTCCCGCAAACAACTTGGACCAGCAAACCCATATCTTATTCGAAGCATTAAATAAACCAAGATGAAACCCAAACTTTATTACAAATCCTCACAGTACTGATGCATCAACCATTGGCTCAAGCACCACCAGAAAGCTAACCGAGTGAAGGTTGAGTAATTTGCGAAATCTTCGAGACGTTGCCCGATTGGCAACTCCCCCCGCATTCCAGATAAGCAACTTAATCATTAAACAAAGAGGCTGATTGAGCTTGAGAAGTTTTACTAGCTTGGCGAGTGCACATGGGCTTCGGCAGCCGCAGGTAGCATTTCTTCCTTGTTCTAGTTGCTTGTCCATGGGGAGGCTTCTTGGTCAGATCTTGACCATGAAGTGGAGGTACCCTATCATCCATCTGGGTTTTTAAGTTGCGTAAATCAGCTAGTTGGGTCATCGGAGAGTGCGGCTCATCCATATGAGAGACACAATCAAAAGCGGGCAAATTGTGAATGGTCTGAATATTCTTCCATGATCGTCTCATATGGCAATCCAACTTACTGTCATCGCAAAAAGGAAATTTAAGCGGCTGCATAGCCAACCCATCACCTGGTGGTGCCGACGCTGCTGCATGAGAGTAGCTGGTACCTTGTGGTCGAAACACTTTATCTAGGGATTGCTCCGCGGGAGGGTGCTGCTGCACATTAAGAGGGACCTGAGTAGGTTGAACCGTCACCGTCCGTTGTTGTTGAGATCGATCGTCTTGCTGCTTTTGCTCTATCGACAATCCAGAATAGTGTGGATGGACAGTGTTCAGCAGCCGAGGAGGCTCCTGCTACTTCTCCTTGACGCGCCATGCTTTGTCCTCTCGTTCCTTTGGAATGAGTTGTCTTTGTTCGATGCCACTTGGGTCACCCGCTACACCATGCATAGGTTTCCCTGAATTTCGGCATAAATCAGAGGAGTGACCCACTTTTTGACAGCAACTACAATCCGGGAGGTTATCGTATTCCACAGGCCGCCAGAACCCAGATGTTCCATTCCCTACCCAAAGTTTTTTTGGAAGAGATTGCCACAAATCCACTTCTATACAGAATCTTGCTACGCTGGGCCGATTGAGAGTTACAGTTGAAGCATCCACCTTTAAAGGCTCGCTAATGAGCCTAGCAATGAAGAAGAGCGGGCCTTTGTTAAAGAGATGAATCGGTAGACGTGGAAGAGAAACCCAAACTGGTTCCAATGGAGATTCTGATTCAATCGTGAAAAAAGGCGTCCGCTTGAAAACTCGTATAGTAAAACCTTGGATGGACCAAGCACCTCTTAACCTGCACCTCAAGTAATCATCTTCCTAATCAAAGCGAGTAAGCACATGGTGGTGTTCCAACAATCCCAGCGAGAAGATCCCCTGGAACCCAATCGAGTGAAATGCTTTCCGCAGGTTCTCCATGTTCGGCCTCCCCTTGGAGAATTTGCCTATCAGTGAATAGCAGAAGGGTTGGGAGAGTTGCTGAACGTCTTCCTCCGTGAAAAAGATTGCTGGCTGGCCTCTGTAGGTGGAAGGTTCCCTAACTATTGACGAATTTTGAGGGACTAGAATGCGTGAAAGATTGGCCTCCAGTTGAGTAGTTCGCGGATGCTGTTGCTCAATGTCCGCAAAGGATTTCTTGAAAGGATGGTCATGGACATCACCTAGGTCCTGCACGGCTGCCGAGGCAGCCATGGAGGCGGCAAAACAAGGCATCCTAAGGTCTTGGAAACCCTAGGTATTTTGTCGGAGGTCTTGGAAAAAACCAACTTTTATTTCTTTTGTTGTTCTCCAAAAATAATCATAACTTTTTTGGCAAAAAAAACTTCTAATAATTTCTATTAATTTTAATAAGAGAATTGAATATTTTCTTAATTTGCATACTATAAGGTGTGTTTTTTTGACTAGTTAAAATAAGCAACGGAAAATATACACTTAAGAAGTCAAACAAGTCTTTAATGTAAATACATTCAATATCCATTAAACATGAGAAAGTTCCAACTCAATCATCCATACAAAAGTTTTAATCAAGTGATTTATTGGGTCAGTCCATAATAGAGCTAGCGGATCCTGTCTCTTTCGTTGGTTCAACTTTATTTTCAACCCTAAGAGCTTTTTCTTTTGGGTTTGTCCTATCCAAATTCATTCTCACAACCTCTTCAATCATGACCTACATTCTGCCAAAAATCCCTTCAATTTTATCCCTTGCCTATCTTGGTACCCTAATAAGGCGGTCCTTAGTCTCCTGCAACTGATCATGCATTACATTAGTTCGCTCTTGCTCCTCTATCACATTAGTTTACAGCTCTAAAATCCTTACTTACACTATTATTTCACTTAAATTTCAGGTCTAAAGACCACATTTTAGGCAATAGATGGTATATAATTCATTTACTATCGAAAGGCTAGTAAGGCTACTAATCTTCAAGATCTCACTACTGTCTCTTCACCTCTAACTCTCAAAAGTTAGCTTTGGTCTCTTTGATTCTACTTCCCCAAGTTTAATCATGATTTCTATTCCCATCCTAATGCAATATACTAAATTCTGTCAATTTACAAATACACCAATGAATAGAATATTTAGTACTTGGATACAGGAATCCGAAAATAAGATAATTCACAACTCAAGCCAGCCGGTCCCAAGAGTAAATCATCCATATTTGAGATTCCTACCCGACGTACACATCTAATTTTAACTCAATAATAATAGTTCATTTCACACTTAACAGGCCACTCCTCACAATCCAAGAACCCTCTCCTAGCGTGAGTTCATTAAGAACTCTGATACCACCTGTGACGACCCCAACTTCTCCTAGAGCATACCTTAGAAGTTAGCAGATTGCCTGTCTGGCTCTCGTCAGGACTCACTCACTTACATTAATTTCAGAGATAACATTATCATTGAACAACTGAACATTCACTCTTAAGTACAACTCCAATCAGCTTGAAACATAAATTCGTCCAATAAAAGAAACAAAATATATGTTCTAAACATCCGTTCATAATATTACACTAACTCAAAACAAAAGATTCGACTGTCTCAAAATATAAAAGGAACCATAACTACAATATATACCCACAGTGATGGATCTTCCCAAAAACTTTCTAATTCAATTCAGTTACTCTTCAATCTCCAACTCCTGTAAGGAAAACATATCTAAAGGGTTGAGCTAAAGCTCAGTGAAGTTTACCAAGCAAGTAATATTTAATAAACACTTAAATCAACACAAGTAAGCAAGTAGTGCACATTTCACTGTATAATCACTTGCATTGAGCATTTGAAAAAATATTTCACTAAACAATGACTTTTAAAAGGATACAGTGCTCGCATTAAAGCCACGTCAATGCACTACACACTCCCCCGAACTCCTCCTTATAACCTCCAAAACAATAAATACTTGCCTCACTTAGATGGCCATATCAATATCAGTAATCTACTACTCCGTGGTAATACTTGAGCATACCGAAACATTTACCCAAAACTACCGTCCCACCCGACCAAACCCTTTGCTGGCTCGAATAGTCCGTTGAGCAAAGGGTTTTGGAGCCCAGTTCAGCTGGTGTGATAAAATACACACACGATTTATAATCATGCACACTTACAATATCACTTGATCAATTATTGACCTTCAAGTTCAAACCAAGTCAAGTGCGATAAAGTACACTCCCGATTTAGAAGGCGAGGGACAATTGAAAATATTTCACAATGAATCACTTAGAAATATTTCATAATAAGCACATTTGCCATATAATTGCACTTAGGTACACATATGTAGTTTAACACATAAATTCTAAAAACACTCACCAAATATTCAAATAACTACTCTCGAGTCTCGAGTCGGTTTTTTGGTTCACAGCTACTTCCTGGACAAGTTAATAATTCCAAATCAAATACATAGTTTGTAGATGTTCACTTATTGTTCTTACTTTATCACTTGAACTATTAAAATCAAGTTTGACTTTAAATTACAAAATATAACATATTCAATATTCATTTATCATTTTATTTTGAAGCTTATTACCTTTATTGTGCTTGACGTGCGCGGGGTATACATATAATATTAAGCTCATCCCAATCAAGTTTTACATTTATAAATTCCTAAATACCCCACACGCGATTTATCGCAAGTATACGAATCGTGAGCGAGTATAGGGTATTAAGGGTCGATCCCACAGGGAAGAATGCAATTACCGATGTTTTCAAACTCCTTTATTATTTAGACTACCACAAATATAAGATTTAAGAAAATAACACTAGAAAGCTCCTAGAGATATGGAATTCCTTACTACTCTTGCAAATGAGATTATCGGTTAAGTGAATGCTATTATCTTGACTAGTTATGGCGTAATTTCCTAATGTATGTGAAACCAACTTTCGTAGTGAATCAACTATACTTGTAATTAAGCCATACCTACTCTCGTGGTTATGAAATTAACTACAAGTTCATTTCTTCCATGAAATTACATGAAACAAGTCACTTAAGCCACATAGGTGCACCTCTACTTTCGTGAGTGTACTCCCTAGGCTTATCACTTCTTTGAACTAGTGTTAAATTCCAATTTTCATTGCAAACTTAACACCTTATGATTATCATAATTAATGGCCAGTTAATCATGATTAGATAACCAAAAGTGATAAATAATGTACTCAAAATAATATCATCAAATAGCCAAGTAAACCTCACAAACAAAATATAGCAAGTTCAACCATAACTCTTAGGCATAAACTTTAACTAAACATAATAAAAATAAATTCCAGAACTTGCATGATAACCATAGTTAAGAATCCAATACAAAAGATAAAGAATTGGAGTAGAGATAACCCATGTCACTTGAGCTTCAACTCCTCCTTCTTCATCTCCATCTTCATCCTAATATAGCTATTATACAAGAATGGATGAACTACACTAGCTAACTATCATACACAAAGGAAGTGGAAGAACTACATTTCTGCAGACTACAGCTCTCTCCCCCGTATGTTCCTCTATGTCTCTGCATATAAGCTGATGAAAATCTCCTCTCTAGTCCAAAATTTCTGCTCTAATGATTCTCAAATCTCCATTTGTTAAGGAAGTCAAAAACAATGACTTTTGACTTGGAATAAGCCATATTGTGTGCTCTTTTTGTCTTCTGAAGCATGTGCACCGAATTCACTTGCAACTTATAGCTGGAAAGTAGTCTGAACACAAGAGAATTGACTGAACAAAATGCAGAATTTCGGCCAGAAAACGCGCCTACACAAAACGCGGTTACAAGTCACGTTTTGTGCACTCGCGTATTCACTTTGGCCTTACTTTATCTGCGATTTTCTCTATCATCAAGGCCGAACTGGCTTTTGTGAAAAACAAAAAAGTTGTAGCCCTTTGAGTTAGCTTTTCAATGCTTCAAGAATCATCCAAATCTAATCTTTGTAGCCTGAGATATGATCCAAATACTAAACACTGGTCAGAGCTCTGTTTTCCACTTTGGACAGCTGAGTTGAATTTCGGTATGTCAACTTTTGGGCTATGAAAACGGCTGAATTGGACTTTGATGTCTTCATACCAAATGTAGATCTCTTTCTTAGCTTTAAATTGGTATAAAGATCACCTCAATCCGATCAGTATAGCTCCAGATATAATCAAAATCCTGAAGCATGTCAAAACTATCTTGACTTGCATTTCCTTACTTGAACGTTTTTCACTTCATTTTTCTTTTTACCACTTTGAATTCATCACCAAATCTCTATTTTTCACTTCAATTGACATCCTTTGGTGGTTAAATCATCATTCCTGCATAAAAATGAAGTTTTTACTATTAAAATCAATAGAAATGCAATATTAGCCATTTTAACATAAAATGTAGTTTTTTACCAAAACCTTAGTTATTTTAGTTATAAAACTAAATAATCAAATCAAAATTAACTAATAAAACACACAAAAAATACGTAAAATAAACCCTTGTCAAATACCCCCACACTTGAACCATTGCTTGTCCTCAAGCAATAAGAAATACAAAACCAACAATGATTCAAAATTTGAAAATAAACATATGTAGCATTTCAACTTCATTTCCTTAAAACAAAGTAAATAACTATTATGCAATTATTCAATTAAATTCAAGTACTCATAATATCAAGTAAAGGAGAGCCAATTATACCGTAATTATAACAGGTTCAAATCTATTTTTCATCCTTACCCAATCTTACAAGTAAGTAACTCATATGGTCAATAATATGCTTTCTAAACCCATGATCATCTTCTTATTTAACTTAAAGAGGGATTTATTTATATAATATAGCTAATATTACTTAAGTTGTGAAAGTATATTTTTACGCGAGGATCAACATTTTTAGATGAAGATCACCGGTTACTCAACACTTCACATACTCAAGTTGCTTTGCATACTCTTAATTCAAGTACCGTTTTACGCGAAAGTCGACATTTGTAGATGAAGACTCCTGGTTACTAAGTACAATAATCATTGGAGTAGAATAAATAAATTTTTTTTTTCTTCTTTTTTTTCACTTTTTTTTTTCTTTTTTTCTTTTTACAGCAAAGATAATAATAAATTCCTCAAAAGAATAATCATGAGAAGAGTATTGCACTTGTTGACCATATTTATCACTTAACTTATAAAATCCAATAAAGAGAAGAAATTTCATCAAATATGCAAAAAATATAGGCATAATTTTCTCCACTTTAAAAGATATACTT